TGATCGCGAAGGGCGCGGCGGCCGGGGGAGCGAACCAACGGCAGGTCGGGGAACTAGGCAAGCCGCGGTCGCAACTCGCCGTAGCCGAGATGGGAGTGGTGGCGCCGTTCGCGAAGATATCAGATTGCCGCGAGGAGGAAGGGCGAAGCTCGTCTTGCCGTTCTCAGCGCGCGTCGACGCGGCGCCAGCGCTGGCCTCGCCCGTCCAGGCGGGGGCAGACTGCAAGCAGGGAGCGGCGCCGATGGGGCGCGCGTCGAAATCAATTCGCACTGCCCCGCGGGACCTCGAGAGCGCGACGCGCGAACGACAGACATTCCAGGGGGAACAAAAACGCAGAAGACGCGAGCACTTAGCGAGGAGTTCTCGGGCCGCGCCGCGAGCAAACCAGCCTTTGGGACCCCCGTTCGCCCCCCTCTCTCACCACCCACCAAACCACCCCAACCCAACCCGAAGGCCTCGATTTGCCCTCCATTTCCAGTTGGGGGGGGGTCGGGGAACATCGAAAAAACACGTGTGGAACCCATGCCCCCCCCCAAATCCGGGTCTTCGCGTTGGGTTGGGGCGGTCTGGTAGGCAGTCACCCTCGAGCCTCCGCCCCTCGAGCCGCCTCGCCCCCCCTCGCCCCCGCCCTGGCCGCGCGGGCCCTGCTGCCGCCTGCCGGCCTGCCCCCGACGCCCCCGCCCGCCCCTCGTTCCGGCCGCCGCCCCCTGAGCATCGGCCCTCCCTCTATTTGTTTTTTTTTGTTTCTCTCTCTCTCTCTCTCTCTCTCTCTCTCTCTCTCTCTCCTCTCTCTCTCTCTCTCTCTCTCTCTCTCTCTCTCTCTCCTCTCTCTCTCTCTCTCTCTCTCTGCTCTCTCTCTCTCTTCCCCCCCCCCCCCCCCCCCCGAGCCGCGCGTGCTAGCCCGCGCAGGCGTTGCCAGACTCGTCTTCCCATCGCCGCCAGTTTGCATGGGCGACTGAGCTGCCGCCCGCGTCTGTCTTTGGGCGCCATGCGGAGGGGGGGGGGGGGGGGGGGGGCGCGCCCGCCGCCCTATCTGCGAGGGGCAGGCGACGCGCGAGCGCGCAGTGTCCCACTGGCTCGCGGGGCCCTGCGTCGCCCCGTGGCCCCACGGAATTCATTATATCAGTAGTGGCCAGGAGCGGCCGCGAGTCCGCTCGTTTGTATTTGTTTGGCGGGGCGGGGCCGACGCGGGCTCCGCTTCGCGTCGGCTGGGCTCGCCGCGACAGCAGCAGGGCCCCGCCCTGCTGCGAGTCGCGACGGTGCCAGGTCACGCATCGCAAACTGACGCTCGGGTGTGGCACGATCCTAGGGGCCCCTGCTGATTGGGAGCTTCTGCTGACTCCCAATGGGTTCTGATTTGATCATTTCCTGCATCGCTACCATCGCCATCCCGTTTGCCGCTGTCGACATCGCCGCGGTGCCGCGCCTTCCCAGGCCAGCGCGCGTCAGCGCGGCCGGCGAGACGCGCCGGGAAGTGCCCCGCAGTCAGCGCCGCCGCGGCCGCATCGGTGATGCCGGACTAGCTGGTTGCTGCGCGCGCGAGCATGCGCGCGCTAGCGCGGACGCGGCGATGCGCCAGCCAGCGCCCAGCAGTCATCGCAATCGTGGCCGCATGGATTTTGCAGAACAAGGCGCTGGCTGGCGGGCGGGATGATTGTGCGAGCAGTGGAGTTGGCAACTTCGAGTTCCAAGTTCGGCGCGGCGAACGGCGCCGCATAGAAAGCGCCACATCGGTTATATCTCTTTCTCACGGATCAATGAGGACCTGCCCGCGTTGATCGCTACCCACTGGGGTAATATGGTTTACATATCAGTTGGCCCAGTGCTTCGTTCATTGTCCCGTATGATTTTTACGACGCCAGCCCAGCTGGCATCGGCCCACCCTTTTTCCCTTCCAAGTAAGTAATGCGCGCGCATTCGTTTAACCCCTTGCAGAAGAGTGACCAAGCCCATGCGTGCGGCATCGCGCGCGCATGCCGGAATCCGTTTGCAAATATTCGGTATCGTACGGACGTTAACATCGAGGCCCCCGAACACAGATTACAATACCGCTAAATGATGCATCGTGGTTTCTGACACATTATGCACGCGTTTTTAATATTATTGTGGAAACCGTTGTTGTTCCCCCCCCCCCCCGCAACATCTTCACCAAATGCGACCGAGCGGGCTTCTCGCGCGCGCGTGTGTCGAAATCATACGAACGCCCTTGCTCGCTGTGCGGGTGGTCGCGATCCCTGTCAAATCACACCATTCGGGCCACTCGCGCCCGTCGGGCGCGCGCGCATGTTGAAATCTGTCCGAAACCTTCAACGCCGACCCGTGGACACCATCATCACCAATGGCTTGATCAGCATCGGTTCCGTCATTCGGCTCGCCATCGTCGTCGTCAGCATCGTTACCAGCATCGCTACTATCATCATCGCGTCTGCCGTATTCGACGTCGCCATGATACAGCGCCCGCTCGAGTCACCGACCCCAGCTGAAATGCACGCGCGTCAGCGCGGCCTGCAAGACGCGCTGGGGAGTCTCCAACGGTCAATGCCACCGCGGCCGCGTTGGTCGCGCCAGACCATTTGGCCACTGTGCGCGCGATCTTGCGCGCTAGCGTGATCTCAGCGACGCGCCAGCCAACGCCAAACCGTCACCGCAGTCGCGGTCGCATGGGTTTTGCAAACCGAGTTGCGAGTGGGTGGATGGGACGATTGCGCGAACACTGGACATGAACATTCATTGCGGACGTAAATAATTGCACAACATGGGTTGCCATGCGTAGATTGCACCACGTAGATCGCATGACGCATATTGCCCCAATTTTTTTCACAGGGTATCTTGCACCACGTAGTTGCTAGAGCACACTGTTTGGGGTCCACGCTGGCGAACACCTTGTGTTGATGAGTCGCGCTGTCCTTCCAATGCGGATAGCATTTTTGGTCCGGACGGCCGCGGTCCCTTACCTTTCCTTTGTCCCGACTTCATCTTGGAGCCCGAGCCGACGTCCTACCCCCCGTTCATCCTTGATCCAGTTAGGGCGCCTTGCTGGAGTAGTTTGCAACGGTGGGCCAAAGGAAAATCCCGACCCTCACCCCAGGGACGGTTTGTCATCCCGACTCGTGTTGTGGCAGCTCCAGGGCCCGACGAGGGTACCGGAGAGGAGATGGGATGGGCGAGTGTGCCGCACCGCGCTGTTGGTGGGCTGCCCATCGCGCGCCCGCGAATATCAAAACGGCGGGCGGTACTCGACCAAGTCTGCGCCAGGAAGCTCCGCGAGCATTGTTTCGAGTGACCCGTGATCCGTTCCAAAGAGCACCTGGGGCATTCCAAGATAGGCAGCATCGCCACTGGCGCATCTTGCTTCCGGCGGAGGGCAGGCGGAAGCGAGATCGCGTCGGGTCTTCTGCGGGAGGCGGCGAAAGTAAGATCGGGCGCTCCGCATTCATGGAGGGGCGATGACAAGGGGAGGGGTCGAGGATCGCAGGCAAGTGAAGAAAAAAGGGGCCCAGGAGAAGCCCCCTAAGGCCCCGAAGGTGCACGAAAGGCGCACCGTTCTTTCACCCCGGCGTTGAATCAGGGTTCCGAGTCATCAGGGCCGGGGGTGGTCATGGATAGCCACAGATTCGCGCCTCTTGGGCCCAGACTGGAGTTAACATGGCGCCATCATCGCAGAGCAGGTTCCGTTCGGAATACAGAAGGATGGGCCCAGAGTGACCTGGAGAATTTTGTTCCGGATGTCGAAGTGAATTTCGTGTAGATTCGGTCAGGAATGAAGACTAAAAAGCACCAATGTGAAATTCACGTCGTTTTTTCGCTCGTCGTTTCGGGGTTCTGCATTAGCAGAAATTCTCGCAAAAATCCGTTGCAGCACGTCTGCAAGGCCGGTGCAGTGAGAGTTACCCTGGACCGCATTTTTCCTGTGTAATTCGGGCTTTCAACCCTCGGTCAAGGGTAGCTACGAATTCGCGCATCTGGGCCCCAAAGCGGAGTTAATTACCGAGGACCGCAGCTATCCTGGATAACTCAGGCGTCCAAGCTTGGCGGTCTGGGAGGGGGGAGGTGTCTTCCTTCTCCTCCTACTCCGCCCTTCTACCTAATCCTCCTCCTTCCCTCCTCTTCTTCCTCCTCCTTTTCCTTCCCTAATCCTCGTCCTCGTCCGCCTTCTCATCCTCCCCCTCCCTCTTCCTCCTCGTCCCCCTCCGTCTCCGCCTCCGCCTCCTCCCCTCTCCTCTTCATGCCTTCGGCTCCATTCCTTCCTCCTTCCCCTCTTCCTCCTCCTCCTTTGCCTCCTCGGGCTCTTCCTTCGGCGCCTTCTGTTCCACATCCTCATCCAATTCCTGCATCCCCCCTTTTCAGTGCCTGAGTAGTGAGTAGAGGGAGGACGGAGGAGGAGGAGGAGGAGGAGAAGGAAGAGAAGGAGAGAGGAGAGAAAGGAGACGAGGAGGAGCAAGAGGAGGAGGAAGAGGAGGAGGAGGAGGAGGAGAAGGAAGAGAAGGAGAGAGGAGAGAAAAGAGACGAGGAGGAGCAAGAGGAGGAGGAGGAGGAGGAGGAGGAGGACGAGGAGGAGGAGGAGGAGGAGGAGGGAAGGAGAGAGAGAGAGAGGTAGGAGGAGGAGGAGCAAGAAGGAGCGGAGGAGGAGGAGGATGAGGAAGAGGAGGAGGAGAGAGGAGGAGGAGGAGTAGGAGGAGGAAGAGAAGGAGAGAGGAGAGAAAGGAGACGAGGAAGGAGCAAGAGGAGGAGGAAGAGGAGGAGGAGGAGAGAAGGAAGAGAAGGAGAGAGGAGAGAAAAGAGACGAGGAGGAGCAGAGGAGGAGGAGGAGGAGGGGAGGAGAGGAAGAGGAGGATGCAGAGGAGGAGGAGGAGAAGGAGGAGGAAGAGAGGAGGAGGAGGAGAGGAGGAGGAGGAAGAGGAGAGGAGGAGGAGGAGAAGAGGAGGGAGAGGAGGAAGAGGAGGAGATGATTCAGGGCATGGAGGGGACGACGAACAGGTCGGGGAGCGACCGCCCCGGAGGCGGCCGAGCGGGAGGCGCCCGCGCGAAGGGCGCGCGGTGGCGCCACGCCCGCCGGCCTGCTGGACGGGCTGCGGGGCCCTCAGAGGGGGGGCCTCCCTCCTCCTCCCTCCTCCTACTCCTCCCTCCTCCTCCTCCTCCTCCTCTCCTCTCCCTCCCTCCTCCTCTCCTCCTCCTCCTCCTCCTCCTCCTCCTCTCCTCCCTCCTCCTGATCCTCCTTCCTCCCCTCCTCCTCCCCCTCCCTGCTTCCTCCTCCTCCTCCCTCCTCCCTCCTCCTCCTCCTCCTCCTCCTGCTCCTCCGCCTCCTCCTCCTCCCCCTCCTCCTCCTTCCTCCTCCTTCCTCCCCCCCTCCCCTCCTCCTCATTCCATCCCTCCTCCCCCCTCCTCCTCCTACCTCCTCCTCCTGCTCCTCCTCTCCTCCTCCTCCCCCTCCTCCTCCTCCTCCTCCTCCTCCTCCTCCTCCTCCTCCTCCTCCTTCTGATCAGCCCGTGCCGTCGGCCGGGGAGATGGACCCATGCGGTCAGGAACGATCGCTTGTAGCGTTTGCTCAGCGTGTCGGCGGCGTCGTCGTCGTCGTCGTCGTTCTCACCTTCCTCCTCGCGAGGGCAAGGAAGTTGCATAAGCATGATCTTTCGGAGGTCCGCGCGGATCTCTCGGATTGGCGTTGATCTTCATTGGCGCGCTCCGCGCGCCAAAGAGAGGGCTCCAGTGCCGATGCAAAGAATCTGTGTGGAGCTCCGAAAGCATACAGTCGGGTACGTTTGCTTAGCGAGTCGTTCCTTCAGTTCTGGCCCGCAACGCTTCGGCACCTCACGCTCACCACGTTCCGGTACCCGGGCGTCGATTTCCCCAGTATTTGTGCCCACTCTCCCGACCCATGCGGCAGCGCGACACGCTATCAGCTCGGAAGGCATACCGTTTTGTTGGGGCCGCCACCGCGACACGCTAAGCAAAAGCTCCTGACCGTAGGTCGCCCCATGGGTAGACCACCACGCTTCGCGCATCACGGCTTGAGTCGGAGAGGCGCCCATTTCCAGGGCGGCGGCGCAGTGGCTCAAAGATAACCGCGCGTCGCGCACCGCTGGGTGCGACGCGCGAAGTGAGGTGATCCAGGATCCTCCCCGGCCGTCGGCTGGTACGGCGCCGTTGAAATGTCCACATCGGGGCTCATCGGCGGTGCGTATGGGTGCCTCGTCGTTGGGGCGAAAGCCTTTGGTGCTGGGCCATGCAGTAGATCTCCAGGGCACCTGCGCACCACGTCCATGTCTGGCTGGAGGCCCTCCTGGGCGCTGTGGCGGCGCTTAGATGTTCCTTACTGGTTCGCCCCAACTGGGAGGGCGTGCGCGCACACCACGCCAGGGCCTGCCAGGACCTGACCAGGCCTGGCGGTGGACGATCGATGGTGCCTGCTGCGTGTGTGGGGGGGGTCGCCCCTTTTGATCACCCTCGACTGCGCCCAGAGGCGGCCTTTGGAACGGCAGCGCACCGAGGGTACACTCGGGTAAGGCTTCGGGTTGCGCACCGACGGCCCCGCCAGGTAGTCTCGGCTGGCCTCGACAGGCCACCCAAGCAGTCCCAGCTGGCCCCCTCGAGCAGTCTGGGGCGATCTCAACACCCTGGCGCCGCCTCTGGCGGCGCCCCTGGAGCGCTCCGTGCCCCAGGGTTGAGGTGTTGAAAGCGCCCTGGGCTACTCGGGGGGGCCGTTGAGGCCAGCTGGGATGATACTCAGGGGGCATGTTGAGGCCGGGCGCGATTATCTGGCGAAGCTGTCTGTGCGCAGCCCGAAGCATTACCAGATTCACTTCGCATAGATCACCCTTGCGTATGGCCGGGCTGGCGATCGGGGCCCTGCATCGCGCATCGAGGAACGATGTTTTCAAATGTGTGTAAGCCCCTGTTGGGCTCTGGGGCCCCCAGGGGCCTCCAGAGAACGCTTGCATGGGGACGTCGGGGACTTGTGGGGAAGACTTCCAGGGACCTCCCATGACCTCCGGAGAATATTTCGACGCACGATCACGGGGGGGGGCAGGCGGGCTTAAGAAGAAGATAAACCGTTCAATGGCATTCAATGGGAACCATATATTTTTATAGTAAAACAACTATTTTATGGCCTGGAAGCAAGTGGCACCTGTGAAAACACAGTGTTTCCGGATTTTTCAAAAATTGTTTGTGTTTCTGGGGCCTGGGAATTTTGCGTTCAGGATCCTCCACAAAAGGGTTCTTTTTGTGGCTCTTTCCAAAATGATTGTTGTTGCAATCCTTTTGTAAGGCGTCCCCCACACAAGGAGTTCATTTGTATGGCGTTACACAAAGAATACTGTTGTGCCGAATCTTGAAATCAAAATTCGGAGGCTCCAGGAAAAAAACAGGAAAACTAGAACAAGCAGAAATAGCAGAAGCAACCGTCCTAAAATTGCGTAAACAGTTTGTTTTCAAAAGTTCTATTTTTTCCAGAGCCAAAGAATGAATGGCTTCATTGTAAAAAACAGATGGCGTCATTGACTGTCATCGCTTTCGTTGCAAAAACAGCTTCAAACTCCAATGATCTCTATGCAGGCACAGGGACCACCCGGTACCAATATTGTTCTTTGACCACCTGGGACCATACTTATACATATATATATATATATGTGTTAACAACACATAGTTCCATGAAGAACATATCTTGTTACAGTGAAATTGATCATCGGTTGGTTCCGAAGCAAGTGGAAATTGTGAAAACACAGTGGTTGCTATATGTTGTTTTGGGGGGGCATGGAGCTTTTTTCCCGGGATTCGCCACAGTATAACAGATTTCTGCTGTAACGCCTTACCAATGTATTCATTTTGTAATTCGCCTTCGCACGAGGAATCCTGTAAGGCGTTTCGCAAGGAACCCAAGTGTAATCCTGAGTAATCCTACTGCAATCCGTATCAAAAGGAATCCTCCTGTAATCTTCCTCGAAAGGAGTCTTGGTGCAATCCTCCTCTCAAGCCATCCGATTGTAACCCTCAAAAGGAATCCGTTTTGGGCTTCTTCTGCTAACGAGGATTCTTAATATAAGATTTAAAGAGAAGTCGGATGTTTTTCTCCTGCTACAAACCCGTTTCGCGATAGCAAACGCTTACCGCTACCCGCGAGGGCCTCTTGAATTTGTGAAGAGGGAAAGTTATGTGCATTTTGTTCGCACATTTTGGGGAGGCCAGGGCACGCAAAAACGCCGGAACGGCGGGGGAATCTACATATAGGCGTTTCCAGGTGGTTTGTGGGGGATCTTCGTTGTAGTGCTTGGGCATGTCAGCATAACGCGCGCATGTCTCGCGATTGCAAGCGCTCAAAGGACGGAATTATATGAATCGTCCGTTGATTCCGGGGAGGTAGGGGAACGCAGAAATGAAGTCCTTAGGCCGCTTGGCGCAAAGCATGTTTTTTGTTGTTTGCGCCCGTGCTTGTCAATATCATATGGTGTATCTCCTTTACCCCCTTGGATCCCTTTGTCCCCTTTGTCACTATGGTCCCCGTTTTTCCGTGTTTGTCCCCTTGGGTCTTTTTGTTGTCCTTTTTGTCGTTATTGTGTTTTTTTTGTTTGTCCCCTTGGGTCCCTCTGTCCCCTTTATTGTCACTTTTGTCATTGTTGCCCCCTTTTGTCCCCTTTGTTTGTATCCTTTGTTTGTGTTTGTCCGCTTTGTTTGTCCCCTTTGTTTGTTCCCATTCTTTGAAAGAGCGTGTTCTACCGCTGCTGGCGGAAAACCGGGGGGGGTCACTACCGGTTCGAACCCCTCCCCCCCCCCCCTCCGGAAAACCGGGGGGGGTCACTACCGGTTCGAACCCCTCCCCCCCCTCCCCGCTCATCATGAAAAGGGGGGGGGGCACTACTGGTTCGAACCCCCCCCCCCCCTTCCCCTTCGAAAACCGAGGGGGGGGGTCATTACCGGTTCGAGCCCCCCCCCCCCTCGAAAACCGAGGGGGGGGTGCGGACAGTGGTGGGGACGGTGGTGATGGGGACAGTGGTGAGGGGACAGCGGGACAGTGGTGGGGACAGTGGGACTGTGGTTGGGATGGTAGTGGTGGGGACAGTGGTGAGGACAATGGTGGAAACAGTAGGGACAGTGGACAGTGGTGGGGACGGTGGTGGTGGGGACAGTGGTGTGGGGACAGTGGGAATGAGGTGGAAACAGTGGGACAGTGGAGGGTACAGTGGTGGGGACAGTGGTGAAGGCGGTGGCGAGGACGGCGGTGGGACAATGGGACAGAGGTACAGTGGGGACAGTGGTGCGGACAGTGGGGCAGTGGTGGGAACAGTGGGACAGCTTAGTGGGACAGCGGAGGAGTCAGTGGGACAGTGGGGACAGTGGGGATAGTCGGGCAGTGGTTGGGGCCGTGGAGAAAGTGGGGAGAGTGGAACCCTGGTGGGAACAGTGGTGGGGACAGTGGGACAGTGCGACAGTGGTGGGGGGCACTGGTGGGGAGAGTAGGGACGGTGGTGGAGCCAGCGGGGACAGTGGTGGTGAGGACAGTGGCGCTGGGAACAACAGTGGGGGATGTGGTGCGGACGGTGGTAGGGACCGGGAGTCGTTTGCTGGCGGTGAGTGGTGGGGGTGGGGGGGGGCTCGAACGGTAGTGACCCCCCCGTTTTCCGGATCCGGGGGGGGGGGGGAGGGGTTCGAACCGGTAGTGACCCCCCCCTCGGTTTTCGAAGGGGGGGGGGGGGGGGGGGGGGGAAGGGGGGGGTTTTGCGGGGGAGGAGGGGGGGGGTCAGCGCGCGCGGGTCGCTTTACAACCAGAAGCGCACTTTACAACCAGATGGGTCACTTTACAACCAGCTTACAAAGTCAGAGAAGGGCACTGTACAACCAGGAAAGGCACGTTACAACCAGGCAAGTGGAAACGCATATTGAATGCACGCGGGCCTTTTCCTGAAATCTCCGTGGGCAAGCGCATGGGTGGTTTTGGGCTCTTTGAGGCATGTTGGTTGTAAAGTTGCCCATCGCGCACGAAGAAGCACTGCGCACGCGTTGGTGATGCGACGACCTGGTGCGCTATGGTATGTTGCGTGCTGGTGGGCGGATTCTGGTTTTGACCTGCTCTCTAAG